ATTAAAAAGTATTTTATATTTATTTTATCAATTGTTTTATTAATTAATCAATCTTTTGTAAATATATTTTCTGAGAACTATTAAATTGAACTTGAATTGAAAAAAAAAAAAATAAAAATAAAAATAAAAATACAAGGTGTTGCATTGATGTAATTTAAACATCCACGTGTTTATCATTTAAAATCTATTTGTGCTATTTGAAGTTAATCAAAATAACATATATTTGAATAATTTAATCTTTTATTGCATTATTCGAAATAAAATATAAATTAAAGAGTATTTTTTTTATTCTGAGATAATTATTGTTTCTTAATATTAATTATTTCTTTTTTATATATTAGTGCATAGAACTCTTATTAAATTTAAATAAAAAAATATGACGTTTAAGAAACGCATCTTAAAAATATTAAAATTAAGAAACAAATTGTTATGTTGATTAAATAAACATTTCGTGTAGGTTTTTTCTTTTTTCTTTTTTGTAAACATTTCACTTAATATGATAATCTAACTATCTACTATATATATCTATAAAGGTGAGAGATCTAACATAAGTATTATAGATTTTAGATAATAGTATCAAATATAAATATCAAATATAGTATATATCATATATTAATATATAAATATGAAATATATAATAAAATATATAATATATATTTTTTAGATATTATTAATTATATAATTTATTATTTAGATATATTATTATATAATATATTATTTAGATATATTAAAATTATATTATTTATATAAATATCAAATATATAATAGAATATATAATATTCTAATATAATTTAGATATTATTAATTATATAATATATTATTTAAATATTTGATACTAAAGATATTCAGTTAAAATATAATAATTTTATAATATTACAATTAAACGTTTTAGAACGTTATAAAAATTAAAAATACAATTTTGCATACGACAACAAATATCAAATAAATTTTGCAATATTTCATTCTATTCAGTATATATATATATACATATCAACTACTTACTACTATTTCTTCTTGAGTATCAAAACTGCAGAGAAAAAAAGTTTGGAAAAATAAAACGATGCATAAATAAGACATTCGTTCAGTAAATTAAATATGATGTAACTAACAAATTAATACCGTCGAATATAAATTGACAAATAATAATTAACAATTGTCTCGGTTGTCACGAAAGAATATGATGTATATACATTACTAATTGTATTGAAAATGTTCTCGTGAACCTTGAAAAATAAATGACTTGTAGATTACGAAATTTGTATCGCGTGTATTTTTTAATTTTTTTTTTCTTTTTTTTTTTAACGTTTATTTCAGTTAACAGTTTTTAAATTGTTATATAATTGTGTTGGATAATTTTTTCGTTGAAATTTGTTTAAACGACGATACCACAATGATAATTCAAAATTTATCGTAAAACGAAGAATAAATCTTCAATGACTAAGTGTAAATAGATGAAGAATTTTTTTTTGAAATAAAATTGATCTAACAAGATAGAAAAAGAAAATATCTCACGAAACTTTCTACGTACGTATCAGAAAAAACAATAAAAAAATAAAAAAAAAAAATACCAGAACAAATAACACAACATTCGAGTTTGTGGGGAAAGGGGGGGGGGAAAGGGGGAAAAATTACCTTTGAAATTTCGATGAAAATATTTAACAAAATTTTATTAATTTAACAAATGACGAATAAAATCCCTATTATAAACTACTTAGTAATATTACAGGAACATATAAACGTCAATGAACTATAATTATAAACGAATATATATATATATATAAATAACATTTACAAACGAGTTGGAATAATTATAAAAACTTATGACTTGAGATTACTTTATTTATTTTTTTTTTTTTTTCATTCTTTTCTTATATTCGTAGTAATAATCTATCATTAATTTCTAGAATAATTATATATATGATGTAAGTTATAGTATTAAATTCTCTTGAAAGATGAGATGAAATGAAGATTTCTAACAGAAAAGTATATAAGTTTGATCCGAACGTGACGTCACAACAGTTTACATTGGAAAAGAGAAGCGAAAGGAAAAAGAGAAAGGGAAGGGAAGTGAAGGGAAGGGAGGTACATAATATGAGATTAATGTATCAAGTAGTGGGGGATAATATTGTACACATATATATATATACAGCTAGAGAAAATTCTTCATGTCATTCTTATATCTTCTATAAAAAGAGGAAACACAAGACAGTCTTTTACATTAATTTTGTTACTCGCATATAACTTTGATTATTTATCGATAACATTTCATGTTCATTTTATTTGAAAATTAGTATTGTTTTGTTTTAACCTAAATATTATTTCAATAAATTACGTGTATAATATAACGAAGATATATTTTGTATTTTTGTTTTGTTTTTGATTCGTATCAGTTGTACCAACACCATGGTGGTGACCAATAAGAACGGAGAAGTAAGTGCTTCAATTAATTGTTTTGTTTTGCTTTCTTTTCATTTCTTTTCTTTTCACTCGATATATGATCATTGATTAAATATTTCAAGTTTAAATTATGATTTGTTTTAATTTAAATTAATTTATATATTTTTCAATAAATTGTTTCGTTATTTTTTTTTTTTTTTTCTATTCTTTTTTTTCACTCTGATTAAATATTCAAATTTTGAATTTCAATTATAACGAGGGAAATTTTGATTAATTTTTAATTTACATAAGTAAATATATATATTAATATGTTTTATTTTATTATTAAAAATAGGACTATAAATATACAATTTATAAATTGTATATTTAGATAATTTTGAAAAAGTTAGGATGATAAAAATAATTTTAATTAAAAATAAAAATGAATAATATCAAATAAAAATGAGAAAAAAAGAACATTTTATAATACGAGTTAATTTTAATATGGTGTCAGATAATTTTGAAAAAAGATAATATGATAAGTTTAATTTTAATTATTATTAATATTTTAAATAAAAATGAAAATGAATAATATCGAGTGAAAATTAGAAAAGATAATCTAATATAATACCGATTATTTTTAATAAAATAGCATATTAAATTGCAATTATATATTATTAATTATTTCAGACAAATTCAGATTTCATTATAAAAGATAACATATTGATAGGCAAACATGAACCCTTAACCACGGAATACAAGGGCATCGGAAAATTACTTTTAGATAGAATGAAAGAAAAACCTGAATCTATTGGCCAGGTATGTAATAAGTTGTATAAGATTTCATTCAATTTTAAATTGTAAGTACAATTAATACGAGTGAATCTTTAAAATTCAAAATTTTTTTGAAATAATCGAAATCATTTGAATTATCGTAATTAATTGTTTATAAATAATGATTTGTTCCTTTTTTAAAAATAATTAAAATAGTTCGACATTATTACGGGAGCGACATATACCTTTGCCGAAATGTATGATCTTACAGTAAAATGTGCATTATGGTTACGTCAACAAGGAATTCAAAAAAACGACGTAGTTGCATTGTGCAGCCCAAATATTATGGACAGTTTTGCACCATTCTTTGCTACATTTTGCGTAGGTGCAATATTTACACCATGGAATCCGGCAATGGACATACGTGAGTATTTTTCTATTAAATTTAATGAAATATATTATATGAATTTTACTGTAAACCTAATATGTTATATATATAACGAAATGTACATATTTTTCAAGTTCTATTTTTTGTTAACTCGTATATAAAAATACGTGAATTTTTTTATATTTAATTATATTTAATTAATATTTAATTATAATATTATTATATATTATTATATTATATAATAATTAAAAAAAAATTATTAAAATTAGATTATACAGGTAAACCTTTTATAAATGCAATTTTGTGTTAAACCGTGTTATATGATAATTAAAATAATGAAAGATGCTATTAACGAAACTATATTATAAAACACACCCTTTTGTAGAAAATTTACCTGTACTAAAAAAAAAAATATATATATATATATATTATTCTCAATATGTACATTTCGTATAAAGTTGAATTTGTTTGAAATATAATATATATTATTATTATTTATTATTATTAGGAGAGGCACGTTACTTCATGAAATTGTCAGGTGCGAAAATAGTATTTGCTGACGAAAGTTCAGTTAACACGATAAAACAAGCAGCCGATTCTGATAAAAATGACATCACAATTGTCGTATTTGGTGAAAATTTGAAAGCAATACCATTTTCCAAAATAGTTGATGGCCATAAGAAATTTGACATAGATAATTTTCACTGTACTACGATTGATGATAATCATGACACCGCAATGATTCTTTATTCGTCAGGAACAACTGGTCCTTCCAAAGGTGTACAATTATCGCATTTTGTATTTTTGTATCATCTATTGAATCCTGGTGGTTTGACCACCGATGGATTACCATTATGGTTGTCTTCATATTTTTGGATAAGTGGAGTATTATTAACTTTAAATTGTCTAGTAAATCATTGTAAAAGATTCCTTTATCCAACATTTGAAGAAGAGATGACCTGTAAAATCATCGAAAAGTACAAGGTAACATTAATAAGTTTTATTATTTTATTATATTATATGTTTACAATATGTAAACATTTTTTTTTTATGGGATATAATTTGATTATATAAAATTATTATAATATTACTATATTTATTTTATTTTATATATAATTATAATATTATTATATTACAATTTATAAATATATATTATAATATTTAAATTTAATTTATAGTAATTTAAAAATATATTAAAAAATAAAAAATAAAAAATATATTCATATTTAAATATATTATTATATTATAACATATATATGTAATAATGTTATTATATTTATTTATTTTATTTTATATATATATATATATATATATATATTAATTATTATTAATTAATTCCAGATATTTAAAAAGATTTACTTTTGCTTTTAATTTTGTACTTTTTTGTTATCGATAGCAAAAACAGTAAACAATATATCAATTAATACTTATATAAATTATTAACAAATTTGTTTTTCTTTTTCCAGATCTCATGGTTATTTTTATCACCGAGTATGATTAACAGAATATTAAATTCAGGATATTTTAAAAAATATGATATGTCAAGTGTTACCAACATATTTCTTGGTGGTGCTAAATTTAGTGAAAATAGTCAAAATAAACTTAAAGAATGTTTACCAAATGCCAATACAGTACAAATGTATGGTAAGAATTAATTTATATATATATATATATATATATATATATATTTACTATGGTATTTAAATAACAATTTAACAAATTAAAATAATAATAATAATTATTATTATTTTCTTTTAGGAATGACCGAACTTGGTGGAATTTTAACAGCACAACATCCCCATCACAAAGCTGGTACCGTAGGAACGGTACTTAAAAATTGTCAAATTAAAATAATCGATTTGGAAACTGGAGTAGCATTGGGACCAAATAAAAGCGGCGAACTTTTAGCTAAATCCATTACAATAACTAATGGTTATTACAACAATCCAAAAGCAACTAAAGAAACTATTGATGAAGATGGTAAACAAACAAAATATTTATATATTTATATCATTATATATTTACTATATTATAATATATTATTTATTATATGTAATATATTATATATATTATTTAATATTATTATTTTATTAAATTATTATTTATTTAATATATTAATATATTATATTATACTATTTAATATATAAATATTTAATATATATATTATATTAAATTATAATTATATTTAATATATATTAATATATTATATTATACTATTTAATATATAAATATTTAATATATATTTTATCAAATTATAGTTATTATTAATTTAATATATTAATATATTATATTATATTATTTAATGTATAAACTACAAACAAAATTTGTTTATTTGATAAACGTAAAAAGAACGTTTCTAATTTTACAAATAATTATTTGTAATTACAGGATGGTTACATACAGGTGATCTAGCTTATTATGACGATGATGGGGAAATAGTTATAATAGATAGATTAAAGGAAACTATTAAATATCGTGGAGTTCAAATTTCTCCATGTGAAATAGAAAATCTTTTAGAAACTTATAAAGATGTTGTGGAAGTTGCTGTTATCGGTGTTCCACATCTTCAAGATGACGAACATCCTCTTGCTTTTGTAACAACAGTTCCCGGTTCTAAGGTACACATATATTATCAACACAACATATATGATATAAACAATTCAATAGAAAAAAAAAAAAATATTCGGTTGTTCGGAAAGTAATTTCATTTTTCTTTTGTGAAAATGAAAACTATTTTCGTTTCGAAGTTAAAACCTCGGCCTTTTGAGTGAGCATAAACAGTTGAATTTAATAAATTTAACTTCTCACCGATCTCACGTGTTGTTATTTGCCACTTTGCACCAATTCATGCAATTATTGTGTCAAGAAAAAACAAAATTACTTTCCGAACAACCTAATAAAATACGTTAACGTAATTATAATAATATTTAAACTGCATTTAGGTAACTGAACGAGATTTGCAAGATTTTGTTGAGAAGAATATGACCGATATTTATTATTTACGTGATGGAGTTAAATTTTTAGACAAAATGCCACATACACCATCGGGAAAAATATCAAGGAAAGATCTCAAAGCAATGGTTAAAGGATATTAAAAGAAAAGAACTAAATTATCATTTATGTTCTTTTTTTTCTATTTGAAAAATTTGTTATTTAGTTGTTATGTAGTCGGTGATAGGTTATACTTATTCAAATGTTTTTATCCTTATTTATATATTTTTACATTCGGTATTAATAAGATTTTAATTTATAAAAATAGGATTTTCCTTTTAAAAAAACAATTAATGTTTAAATGGATGAGATAAGTTCTTGTCTGTGTTTTTTTTTTCCTTGTATTACGAAATCAATTATGTGAATAACGTGTATAAATTTTTTACAGTATTTAACGATATATATATACATAATGTATATTTAATTGAAAAACAAAAAGCGAACTACGTAATAGTTTTAATATTGCAAGAACTTTCCTTATTAAGTATTAAATAATAGATTAGTCATTTTTAAATGTTTATAACGAAAAGTATTATTTATTAAAAAGTATTCAATATTTTCTAATACGTACCGTGTATTAACTGTGATCGACAATTATGATTTTCTTAAAGGATCACAACGACTATTTATTGATCCAATTAAATCTATTTATAACTCTTTTTTTTCTATTCTATTTATATGTATTATATAAGTGTATATGTTATCTATTTTCTTTTTTTTTTTGATACAATACACAATCATTTGAAATATTATTAATCGTTGTTAATTATTTCTAAGAAACCTATATTATTCTTATTTTATATTATTATTTTTAATTTTATTTACATTTTTTTGCAATTTTTTTTATTTGATATAATACAAAATAATTTGAAATAATATTAATCATTTTTAATGACCTGTTGTCCTCTTCCCCATTCCATACCCCCACCAATACCTCTCCCCTCCTCCTCTCCCTTCCACCCCTTCCCTATTCCCAAATCAAAACAGAGGGAGAAGGGCGCACGCGCCATCACCTAGGGGGGTAACGTGCCTCCAACTCTTACAAATCAATCTGCAACACTGCATAGCGGCCTCGGCGGTTCTCAGCCAGAACCTAGCAGTGGAGCAGACAGACATATCCCTCATACAGGAACCCTGGATCTATGGTGGACTTGTTAAGGGGATAGATCGCAGCATGGGGACATTGGTATATGACCTCAGCGAACCCGGCCCAAGGCCGTGTGTCTTTGTATCCAAAGGGCACCACGCCCTAAAGCTAAGCAGATTCTGCAGCAGGGACCTTGCAGTGGCCTCGGTTAGGTTAAGGTTAGGAGGTGGGCTGACCGACCTTATCGTCTGTTCAGCGTACTTCTCCTACGACTCGGCCGAACATTCGCCTACAGAGAAACTGAGAGCCGTGATGGAACACTGCCGCAGAGAAGGGCTGGACCTTGTGATCGGGTGCGACGCTAACTCGCACCACGTCGCATGGGGCAGCTCAAATACAAATAAGAGAGGGACAGCTTTGCTGGAATACCTCTCGTCGTCGAATCTGGAGATCCTCATTAGGGGATCCAGACCAACTTTCGTCACCTCGAGGAGACAAGAGGTGATCGACTTAACACAGGGCACCTCCAGGGTGGCTCGGTTGCTTGAGGAGTGGCGAGTGGACGATAAGGATTCACTCTCGGATCATCGCCGCATCCTCTTCAAGCTCAGGACTGAGATGGCACAGCCTGTTGTCAGGACCTACCGAGACCCAAGGGCCACTGACTGGGCTCTCTACAAGAGGGACCTTAAAGGCAGGCTCGGGGAAATAAGACTGAGGGTCTGATTGAGGAACAAGTAAGCTTACTCTCCTCTTCCATCACTCAGGCCTTCGAAGCTGCTTGCCCTCTTAAGACACAGGGGGACAGGACAAGAGTAGCATGGTGGAGCAAAGAGCTGAGCTCACTGCGCTCGAGTTCTCGCCGCCTCCTAAATAAGGCTTTAAAATCAAATAGCTTTGAAGATTGGGCTAATTATAGGAACGAGCAGAAGGCCTATAAGAAGCTCATTAAGAAATCTAAACGTGAGGCCTAGGTGAAATTCTGCTCTGAAGTTGAGGCCCTTCCTCTAGTGGCCAAACTTCGCAGAGTCCTCGCCAATGGCCCACAACCAAGCCTCGGTGGACTCTCTCTCCCGAACGGAGAGCAGCTTGAGAAACACAAGGACATTCTTGCCCACCTACTGGAGGTACACTTCCCGGGATCTGATCAGGTCGAGCATAACCCCTTGATTCAGGGGGAGCTCCGCGCCACGAGACCCGGTGACTGGACCACTGCTGCAGCAGTGGTAACGTATGGCAGGATTCGCTGGGCTCTGGACTCGTTCGACGGGTACAAGAGCCCGGGGACTGACGGGCTCTTCCCCGCCCTTCTTCAGAATGGAGGGGATGGGCTAGTCAAGCATCTGATCTGTGTCTTTAGAGCGTGTCTCGCCTTGAGATACGTACCTAAGCCATGGCGGGAGGTCAAAATAGTCTTTATCCTAAAAACGGGAAAAGACAAATATGACCAAGCCAAGGCTTTTAGGCCCATCAGCTTGACGTCTTTCCTGCTGAAAACGCTGGAGAGACTCGTTGATAGGTTTATAAGAGATGCAGCGCTAGCGAGGATGCCGGTGCAGTCATCGCAACACGTTTACCAAGCAGGTAAGTCTGTCGAGACGGCTCTTCATGGCCTCGTTTGCGAGATCGAAGGTGCCCTCGACAGGAAAGAATCCATGTTATGTGTCTTTTTAGACGTCGAGGGGGCGTTCGATAACACCTCCTTCAAAGCTATATGCGGGGCAGCGAACGATTTCCACATCGACGACATTCTCGTCCAGTGATTGGACTTCATGCTCCGCTCACGTATCATCACTGCTAGTCTCAGCGGGACGAACATCACGGCGCACGTTGGCAGAGGGTGCCCTCAGGGTGGAGTTACCTTCCCACTGATGTGGCTCATGGTTCTCGACGGGCTCCTGAGTAGGCTCGGGGAGCTGGCGGTTAAAACGGTTCGGTTTGCCGATGACGTCTGCATAGCGGTAACCGGCAATCACCCGGCCACGATGTCGAGCAAGATGCAAAGAGCGCTCGACATCGTTCAGGATTGGTGCACGTCGATGTCTTTGAGGGTGAACCCGAATAAGACTGAGATGGTGCTCTTTACGAGGAAGAGGCATTTCAATATAAGGAACTGAGCTGACGTTCTCCCGGGAAGTTCGCTACCAGGGGGTGACGCTCGATAGCAAGCTCAGTTGGAAAAGCCACATCGACAACCAGGCCGGAAAGGCTATTAATATCTTCTGGGCCTGCAAGAAGATGTTTGGAAAGACGTGGGGGTTAAAATTACGGATGGTTAGGTGGATTTACACCGCCATACTGGTCCCTCAACTGACGTACGCCTCCCTAGTTTGGTGGCCCGGCGTCGAGCGGGCTCAAAACAGGAAAGCGTTAGACAGGATCTACAGGCTAACAGGGCTGGGAATTACGGGCGCGACGCGCACTACCCCGACCCTGGCTCTAGGGGCCCTGTTCAACATCTTACCTCCGTACATTGCGGCAGAGGAGAGAGCCAGAAGCGCAGCCTTTAGGCTGCTAGTCAGTGGGAGCTGGAGGCGGGCCTCCTACGGGCACGCATCGATCCTGTCAAGAACGGAAGACTTCGAGGAAGACAACCGTCTTGGGGGCGACTGGTGCCCAAAGGAGTACCATTTCCAGCAAAACTATGAGGTCCGCTTCCCAGACAGACAGTCATGGGCAGCGGACCCAAATCATTTATTGGCACCCGTAGGGCCCGTCTGGTATACAGATGGGGCTAGAGCGGGCTCCAACGCGGGAGCAGGAGTCTGGTTTGGAGGGCCTAGAACCGAATTGTCCTACACCCTAACCGGTACCGCTTGTGTTCTTCAGACGGAGCTGTTTACCATTCGGGCCTGCGCCCACAGTATCCTGGAAAGGGGGTACTATGGCAAACATATCTACATTTGTAGTGACAGTCACACTGCGCTCAGACTTGTTCACAGCACCGTGGTCAAGTCAGTGCTGGTGAAGGACTGCGTCGACTTTTTGACACGGCTAGGCAGTGTCAACAGAGTAAGGTTGCTCTGGGTGCCGGGTCATAGTGGCGTTCAGGGCAACGAAAGGGCGCACGAGCTTGCCAGACTTGGAGCTTCACGGCACGATCTGGGAAACCAATGCCACATCAGCGTGTCAGAGGGGCTCATGCGGAGGAGGTCTAAGAAGTGGGCCACGGACCGCTTCAAGGATCTCTGGGTGCAAGGCCCTGGCATGAGGCACACGAAGGCTATGTTTTCAGGGCCCTCGGAGAAGCTAGGTACCGAGTTGATTAACCTGGACCGAGCCCAATTGAGACTGGTTGTAGGATTGGTCACCGGGCACTGGCACCTTAGAAAGCACCTTACACGACTGGGCTTGGCACGAGACTCGGTCTGCGGCAGGTGCGGCGAAGGGGAGGATACCCTCCTCCATCTCATAACTCAATGCGTTGGGCTCGCGGACGTCAGAAATGATGTCCTTGGGACCACAGCCAACAACTTTGACCTAGTGGGCTCAGGGGTGGCGAAGGGGAGGATACCCTCCTCCATCTCATAACTCAATGCGTTGGGCTTGCGGACGTCAGAAATGATGTCCTTGGGACCACCGCCAACAACTTNGGCAGGTGCGGCGAAGGGGAGGATACCCTCCTCCATCTCATAACTCAATGCGTTGGGCTCGCGGACGTCAGAAATGATGTCCTTGGGACCACCGCCAATAACTTCGATCTAGTGGGCTCAGGGGCGGCCAGACTGCTGCGCTTTGCAAGGGAGTCGAGGCTGCCTGCGGGACCGCTACGGTCATAGGTTTTTCCCCGCAAGGAGCCTGGGCACAATGGTCCAGAGACTGAGCGCCCGGATAAACAAACCTCAAAGAAAAAAAAAAAATCATTTTTAAAATATCTAAATTATTTTTATTTTTAATTTTATTTTAATTTTATTATAATATTAAAATTCTGTCTTATTTCAATTGCATTGTAATTTTTTTTTGTACACTACAAAATAATTTGAAATAATTTTAATCATTTCTAAAATACTTAAATTATTTTTATTTTAATTAAATTTTATTATAATAATATTAAAATCAATTTGTGTGTATTATATAAAAGACCAAGATAGATCTATTTTCGTTATTACTTTGTAATAATAATTAAATGTTATCGTTAAATTTAACGATAAGTATATCTGTTATTTGAATTTACATGTATCATAACATAAATATTATTACATATATTATTTATTCTATATTTAAAAACAAACGTTGGTTCTAATTACCAACGTTCGAATAATTCGATATTTTGTATAAATCTATTTTCAGTTAGTCGTTTCCATAATACATAAAGTTAAAGTACGTTATATGTACAAACATATACATATACATATATCGATATATAGTGAAATTAAAAATACAAGTTCTTATACATAGAAATGTGTATTTATATATATATTTTTAAGCTACGTAATTAATTTGACTTTATATATATATATATGCTGAGTAAATTAAAATCATTAATACTGACACAATTACAATTTAAAAAAAGGGACAAATTTAAAAAAATTAAAAATTGACTTGAACTACGAAACTACGAAAGTAATTCTTTTATTTATTTTATTTTTTTTAGTAAATTATGTAAGTCAAAGTTAAAATAAAATTAAATAATTGAATTAAAAAATATTTAATATTACAATTCTTGATTATTTTCAATTTTATTGTTATAGAAAATGAATTTGGATTCGGAAGATGATTATTTCCCTAGTTCTGAATCTAACGATACTTTATTGATATCTGACGAAAATAATATTAAAACGAAAACGAATATAATTGAAAATACAAATGGATATATATCGGTAATGGAAGCAACAAAAGACATCGAAATATTCGATGGAACGGAAAGTAAATCAAAATTTTTTATAGAAAAATGCGAAAGAGCATATCATAAAATAAGTCCATATAATCTTTTGGATTTCATCAATATCATTCGTTCTAAGATACAAGAATCAGCGATGTATGAACTTTTGCATAGTAACTTGACTTTCCATCATTTAATGTTTGAAATTAAAAAAAAATACGTACCGAAATATCAAATTGATTGGATACACGATATAATTCTATCTAAACGAGAAATTTATGAGACACCGGTTATGTTTGGAAAAAGATTAGAATTAATGCTCAATTGTGCTATTTCAAATTACAAAAATACATTCACAGTAACGTTAGCGGAAATTTACATTAAAACAATACAAGAAATTTCTTTAAAAATATTTTTAGATAGAATGTCGTCGAATGATTTTTTAAAGAAAAATGTGTTGGTTATAGAACCTAAATCTTTAAAGGATGCCATTTTTATTACCAAATGTATATGGAAGACTATTAATTTAAGACTCGGTTCACGTATTAACACTAATACTTATTGTCCTTATTGCAAAAACAGAAAATATCATTATCTCGATTGTCAATTTTAAGGTTTTTAAAATAATAATTATATGTGTGTCCATAGTTATGAAAGTGATCTAAATCATGTTTCTCTTGTTTCGAGATATTTAAAGATTTATATTTGAACACTATATGAATTCTATATAATATTGAAATAGCAAACACTATCTAGCGGTTTATTTTTGACAATATCATGAAAATTACATTTATTTAGTTTAAAATAATGTGGTGTAAAATAACTGATAAACTTAATTTTTTTTAATTTTGACTTATGTTAGACCACTTTTATAATTATGGGCACATATACATATATGTATACGCGATACGTGGAATAATAACAACAACAAAACAACAATTTTATTTCATTTTATTTCATTAGTTTTTTTTTTTTTTTTTAAGTATGAGAGAAATTAACATTTTCAAAATCTTTTTTACAAATCTTTTATCAAAACCAAAAATATTGTATAAACTGCGATATTATTTTATTATAAGAACAATATGGATAAATTTTGAAACAACTTTTAAAACACCTTCGTTATAATAATTATAATAAAATGAAAATTTTATATGAAATTATTATTATTATAGGACAAATTTTTAAGAAACGTTTTAACGAAGGTTTATTTTAAAGAAATAAAAATCATTTTTAAATAATTACTGATATTTTTTATGACCCCAGCACCCACCATCTGGCCATTTAAATACATTGTTTCTATTTTTGTAAAATATAGTTTAATTATTTTTACACTTTTAAATAATAAAAATAATAATAATAATAATAATAATAATAATAATAATAATAATAATAATAATAATAATAATAATAATAATAATAATACGTTTCAAACGAGAATATAACACGCGTTAAATTTTAACGTTCTTTTAAACATTATATTTAAATACTTATTGTTAGAAATGTAAGAATAGTTTTTGTGTAATATTTTTTGTTTTTTTCAAATGTATTTGTAATAAATACGAACGAAGTAATACGTGTATGTGTAATATCAAAATATTATTTATATTCTAGGTTCTATGAATGTCCTTACAGATGATCGTGTTTATAAATAAAAAAAAAAAAAAAAGTACAATGTATTGATCTCAATGATTATTAGATAGAATGATCGATTATAAATAAAAAAAAAAAAAAAAACATAAAAAGAAACCTTTGGATGTTTACATATAATAACGCACGAAACACGAAAGCTTAGAAAGTTATATTTCGAAATATTCAAACATAGTAATATTCTATTATCAAGAGTTATTTTATTTAAAACGTATTATTATTTAACAATGATTTTCAATTATCATAAATAAAATATATATACAATATTGTTATTAATTAAACATACCATTTTAACATTATATTTTTCTATATATTTTTTATTCTTGTTATAAATAAAATTATCAAACAAATTTTATTGAAATTAAATAAATTTTAATTAAATGTATTTTGAATACTTATTAAATTTTATAGTTTATTAAATTTTTTGTAATAAATGTAGGGAATTTTATTTAGGGTGAGAGGTGCGAGGTGAACATACACCCAGTTTAATCCTACTAATCTTAATATATATATAAATTACGTGTCAAGTTGTTTGTCCGCAATGGACTCCTAAACTACTGAACCGATTTTAATAAAATTTTGCACACTGTGTGCAGTTTCACCCAACTTGAAAGATAGGATAGTTTATATCTCAATTTATAATCGCAATATTATTTTATTGCGAATTATTTGCTTATTAACAAAGAGTCATGATTATCTCTGCTGGTTCGATAAGATTCTAACAGATGGCGGTATAAGGTAATTCGTTGATTTAAAGACGTGTGTATCGGACTGATTGTGAGCCACAGCAACGAGTAGCGGGGCACACCTAGTAAGATATATTTAAAACAGGTATTAGGAAAAGTACAATAATAGTTTCACAATCTTACGATTACAACTTAGATAAGCGACTGTGTTTTTACAACTGATAACAACTTATAATACAATTGCGACTGTTACGACTGATGACTAACTAATGTGGTTTTCCAATTACAGCACTAAAGCGCTTTATGCGGCATAATACTCAACGTTGAATGTTCCAACTAGAGCAACGCATCGCATCAATCACTTTCGGGTGATGCGTGCAATCGATACCAACTCAGTAGCAGAAAATAACCAAGTGTTTTTTCTTTAAGTTGGCATTGATTGAAATTGTATGTAGATTATCATTAGTAATATTGTTTATTATTGAAAAAATTCTTAAAGCTTTCGTCTCGTCGTAGTTTTTTGGAAATAATAAAAAGTTATTTCAGACTGTGTTAAAAAATAAATATAAGTATGGATGGAGGTGTAAACATCGACTATTTTTTTTTATATTCTACACATAAAATGTGAATACAATTTCATTTTAAAATTCAAAACTATAAATAAATTTATTTTACAGAAATATACTTTTGTCAACATTGCAATGGCTTGATCGAATCATTATTATTGTATACCACTTTATTTATACATTAATGAGGTTGCTAAGTCTATGAATATTTTTTTTTTCAACACTGAACTTAGCGCACTCTGCTGGTGCGCTTGAAAACAATTTCAATTAAGCATTAGCCAGCGATCCTATTCATACGATAATTATCGTACGCGTACGATAATTTGAGGCCCTGTACGATCTAAAATTCGTGGTGTACGATCCATTTGGAATTTCGAAAACTTGATGACCTTTTTTTCTTTTTTTTTAGTCAACAAATTTTGGAAAGGTGCAGCACCACCCCTACCACCACCACCACCACCACCACGATCTCCCAGCGGACGGCCGTTTTTATCGTTTTTATGAAAAGGTCATCAACTTTGAAAAAGTTGGAACTTGGACACTTTTTCCACATTTTGAAAATCTCGTCCGAGAAATTGTCGGATTTCAAATTTTCCCGGGGCGTACGATAATTTTTTGCTGCGTACGATAATTTTACGCCCCTGTGTCGATCAGACGAACTAAAGTCTCTGGGATCACTGGCATTAGCACAATTCGGCATTGTGCGCTACTGAGTCGCATTATGCTCTGTAATTGGAAAACCACATAAGGCTACTTTCTTATTTCTTTGCACATATTTTATATCAGAAATGACCTACACTCCTTTGGAAAGGGAAGGAAATTACGAATCTTATTGACCAATAGCATAAGGATCCACCCCATAGTTCACCGACGAGTACAGCCTATGGTTTTTGGTAGTGGAGAGTATGCAGAAAGAAACTTGATCAAGAATATCAGAATGTTATCTCTTTTTATGGTATTGCACGTGTTTCCATAGAAATCTGAAACTATCTGAAGGACCCGACATTTGTACAAAGGGTTTTCATCGCACCAGTAGGTCCCAATAATTCTTAAGTTTTGTTTTATGGTTTTATAACCCTCATAAATCTTTCCTTTTAGTCTCTGAATAGAGTTTTCCTTTCCAGAAAATAAAATATAAAGAAAATAACTGAATACTAGTTTTTCGTCTACATTTTCGACACTTAAAACTCTCCTACGTAAATAATAAAATATAAACTCGATCAAAGAAATCTAACGCGTTAGACGTTTAACACGTTCATCGCCCAGCCCGTTTCGGTTGTTTCTCGCCAGGCCCAAAATTCGACTGTTTATCGAAAATAATAAAATATAAAACTATCTTTTATTTATCGAAAAGAATAAAATATAAAAATATCGTTTATTTATCGAAAAGAATAAAATATAAAAATATCGTTTATTTATCGAAAATAATAAAATATAAAATATTGTTTACCGAAAATAATTTTGTTTCGAAATGGGAAATGTGATAAGTTTTTCCAACTAAAAATACTATAACTTCAACAAGAAGAGCGTCACCGTATACGGTGACGGGGCCTCCGGGAAAGCATGCCCGTCTCCGGTATACGGTGCCATGGCGACGAACGTGTTAATAAAAAAAAAAAACATTTTTTATGTAAAAATAAATATATGAAAATAATCAAAATATTTGTTGTTCAACTTTTGAAATATCATTATGTTATCAAATTTAATTATAATAACAAATGAATTATATAATTTATACATTTGTATATTTTATAAAATAAAAAGAAAAAAAGTAATACAAATTTCATTTTCCAATTCCTTACCAAAAAATGCATTGAAATATGCATTTTTTATTTATATATACGTCTACATGTATCTTTGAGTATTTGTCATTTATGTAAATTAATAGATAATTAAATTATTTCAATTTTACATTGTAGGCGAAAAAACTAGTATTCAGTTATTTTCTTTATATTCTATTTTCTGGAAAGGAAAACTCTATTCAGAGACTAAAAGGAAGGATTTACGAGGGCTATAAAACCATAAAACAAAACTTAAGAATTATTGGGACTAACTGGTGCGATGAAAATCCTTTGTGCAAGTGTCGGATCCTTTGGACAGTTTCAGATTTCTATGGAAACACGTGTGACACATACGGAAAAACAATACTTCGTAACTTGAAACGAAGTTCCTCTATGCATGGTCTTTTACTACGATCTTTACCTAAAAAACATAAGCTGTACTCATCGGTTGACTATAGGGGGTGTACCCTTTTGCTATTAGTCAATAAGATTCGTAATCTCCTTCCCTCTCTAAAGAGGTGTAGCTCATTTCTGATATAAATATGTGGAAAGAAGTAAGAAAGTGTCCTTAATCAGTTCTTTGTTTTCAGCCTTTAGTTTTCTGTCTGTGTGTTATCTGTTATCCTGCAAATCAGTCAGTCGGTCTTATATTTGTAACTCTTTTGTATTCTGTATTTCTGTAACCACGTAAACTTATGTAAATACCGCTCGACATCATAATTAATTAAATAAACTATCACATACACATATTTCATTTCATCAGATCATCAGTTATTATTATTTTTATTTCTCTCTGTCTGAACCCCCAAAACATCTAGAATTATAAATTATTTAACTTTGATTATTTCCTTTTTTCTACTGCTGTTTCTTGAAAATTACACATAATGTTCACAGGTTTCGTCAAGTTATAAAAAGGGAGAAAAAATATCTTCAGTCGATGATACAAAGTTTTTGTTATCTTTGTCTGTGTTATCTGTTTGACTTATGTATCGCATCTTTCTTAAACAATATTTTATTCTGATATAGAATTCTCCTTATCAGTAACCTTTCACAATGCAAAAACTTATATGCAAGTTATCTTATTAAAAGTTAATTTCATTTTAATAACCGCAGCGTAATTTCATTTGATGTAGTTTAAAATAATTTGTAAAGTATATAGTGTGTACACAAAAAAATATCATGGATAATCAATCGAATTCCACCGTAAGTTTTTATCAACTATGATATTTCTTTTAATGCATATATATATCATTTATTTATAATATGTGACTATGATTTTTTTTATTAAAATTGTTTTGAGTTGTTGATAATATCAATGAAAATAAAAACTTCGAGTGCAATAGGTTAATTGATTCAAATTTTGAATAAGATAAGATACTTATTTGTTAACATACATTTTTATATATAAATGTGTTGGAAATTAATTATTTTAGAATGATCCAGATTTTGTTATAGAAGATAATATAATTAAAGGAAACTATGAACCTTTTTCAACAGAATACACGAATATTGGAAAATTACTTTTAGATAAAATGAAAGCTAAACCCAATTTTATTGGTCAGGTAAGTCCAAAAAAATAAACAATAGAAAATGATTTGTTATTTTATCTAAAAGTTAAAAAAAAATTCTATTTGTTGAATAAGCAACGATATATTGGTATATCGTTTATAAATGAGTTAAAATAATAAAAAAAAATATTATTTAAATGTTTACATTAATCACAATAGATAGACGTGATTACCGAAGAAACGTATACATTTTCTAAAATGTATGATTATACTGTAAAATGTGCACAATGGTTGCGTCAACAAGAAATCAAAAGAGATGATGTAATAGCTCTATGCACTTCGATTACTATTGAAAGTTTTGCACCATTATTTGCAAGTTTTTGCGTTGGTGCAATATTTACACCATGGAATCCAGAAATGGATATACGTGAGTATTCTTGAATGTTTTTTTAAACATTATAAAGTAATAAGAACAATGTTTTGTTTGTTTTAGGTGAGACACGTTACTACATGAAATTATCTGGTGCAAAGATAGTTTTTGCGAATGAAAACTCGGTGGATAAAATATTGGAAGCTGCTAAGTTAGAAAATCATGATATCAAAATCGTCGTATTTGGTGAATCTTCGAATGCAATACCCTATTCAAAAATTCTCAATAGTAATTGCAATTTAGATGTGAATAATTTCGAATGTACAGAAATAGATAACGTACACGATTCAGCTGTACTTCTTTATTCGTCTGGTACAACTGGTCCACCTAAAGCAGTTCTAATCTCTCATTTTGTATTTTTGTACAATGTCATTTCACCTTATGGTTTTAACGTCGAAGGAATTCCATTATGGTTCTCACAATACTTTTGGATAACCGGTGTATTATTAACATTGAGTGGTATTGCAAATTATTGCGTAAAATTACTTTATCCTCAATTCGAAGAAGAAATGGTGTGTCAAATTATCGAAAAGTATAAGGTACGATCAGAAAGTGTAAATTAATGAAAAGATTATTAATAATAATTGACACACTAAAATCTTTAATTGTAATTCACCAAATTATAATCTAACAGACCTGATTTATATGGCTTTTCGTGTTACATTAATATATTTTATATATTTTATAAAAATAATAAATATGTCCATACACATATTATTGGTTACACAGGTTACATGGACATTTTTATCACCAAGTATGATAAATAGAATAATAAAGTCAGGATATTTTGAAAAGTATGACATGTCGAGTGTTAGAAAAACAAAGGTTGGTGGAACAGCATTTAGCCTTGAAAGTGGAATTAGACTTAAAGGATACTTGCCAAATGCCAATATCGTACAACACTATGGTATTATGAACGCAATATTATGTGTATAAACATTGAATACTTTTAAGAAAAACCTGTATGCAAATTTTATTATTAAAATCATATAAATTTTGTAGGAATGACCGAACTTGGTGGTATAATAACAACTACAAGACCCAATCACAAATCGGGTAGTGTTGGAACAATAACAAGAAATGTACAAATTAAGATCATTGATTTGGATAATGGACAATCATTGGGTCCAAATAAAACGGGTGAAATTTTAGTTAAATCTATAACAATGATGAATGGTTATTATAATAATCCACAAGCTAACAAGGATGCTATAGATGCTGATGGTAATATGAACAAAAAATATCAAAAATAATCTAACAAATGAATCTATTTGATAATCGTTTACATTCATCAATTGTCATAATTACAGGATGGTTGCATACAGGTGATCTTGGATATTATGATGAAGATGGTGAAATATTTATTGTCGATAGATTAAAAGAAACTTTGAAGTATCGAAGTATTCAAGTTTCCCCATGGGAAATAGAAAGTTTTTTGTTAAAACATCCCGATGTTGTTGATGTTGCCGTTGTGGGTGTACCCCACCTTGTAGATGATGAACACCCTATTGCATTTGTAACCAAAGTTCCCAATTCGAAGGTACGAAAGTTTATTAACAAAATAAGAAAATAAATTAGAACAAAATAATTTTGTTTATTTTAATCAATGTTTAGGTAACCGAACGAGAACTTCAAGAATTTGTTGCAAAAAATATGACGGATCAATATCACTTAAGAGGTGGTGTGAAATTTTTAGAAAAAATGCCATATACAAATTCAGGAAAAATTGCAAGGAAAGATCTTAAAATTATGGCTAAAAATTATCAAACTAATTGATTGGTAATTCGATCGAAATTTTCGTTCGATTGAAGTCAGATTATTTATACAAAATAATCATATGTTAATTATATAATAATCATATAATAATTATAAATTTTCTTCTTATTGACTGAAATTTACAAAAATTATAAAAAATATCATGAGTTGAATTTGTTTATCGAAAACACGCGATACAATTTAAAAAAAGGAATACTAATTTATTTAAATACTCTCTTAAAATGGGATAATTATAAAATTGAAGATGTCTATGCGCGATAAATATGTAACAAAAAAAAAAATAGGACACGAGTATGTTATGTAAAATAGAAACCTAACAAAAGAAATAAAATAAGACAAATTACGTTAAAATATATCTTAAATAATATTAGATAACATTATCGGTATATATATAGGTAAATTTACAGGTATTCTCTTGAGACAGAAAGGAATTCGCACTTCCAACAAATTATTTGCCTAAAATACGTAATGTAAGTGTTTCTAATTTCATAAATCATATATATATATATATATATTCAGAGACAAAAATCAGTATACATGAAAGTTTGTCTCTGAATATCTTTTGAACTCTTAATTTAATCGCCCAAACATAAGACACCATTTTTACAGAGCAGTTAATTTCAAGCAGTAAATTTATCCTAAGATCGATCAGAGATTTATCTTACATGTGGTAACGAGAGAAAGTGAGAGAAGAGAGAGAGTGAGAGAATGAGAGAGTGAGAGAAAAACATATCAGATAAACAAGAAATATCATTTGTCCGTGAATTATTACTTCGATAGTAGAAGTTTATTGCGTTAGAGTGTTATTTATATGATACTATTTAATTCAGTCAGTTAATACATAATTAAATAAAAGTAGGAAGAATGTAAGAATGTTCCGGGAGCATAGAAATTATTACGCTTTAGTAATTAATAATTGCAACATAAAATAGAACTCATTGCGACGACGACGACGATGACAACTTGACTTGACTTCATTTGATTTTACTGAAGAGAAAGAAAAGATTTATACTTAACGTAAGATAAAAAATCTACGATAAAAATAAATTAAATTAAAAAATCATAACGAGTAAACACGTATTATAATAAAAAATAATTAATTTGTGATTAGAGTGTAGTTATTTCAACACAATAATATTTACGGTAGTGTAGAAGTGGTAACTGACTGATATATTGAATAACAACGTTATTTTTTAGATATACATGGCTAGTTCTCCAAAAAAATCGAAAATGGCTTTATCGAGTTGGTCAGTTTTTTTTAACTCGCAATCGAATTTTTTTTTTTGCTCAAGTCGTTGTATATGTCTTGTTTGAGGAAAATATTATAGTGGTCCCCAACTTTTTTGAGTTTAAATTGAATATAAAAATTTTTAAAAAATTTGAAAATGAGGGAATGACAGATTCGTGAGGGAATGATTGTTAATATGATTCTACAATAATTAAAAACTTTATAATGCACCAATCATTTGCTTTATTACAAAATTATAATAATTAAACAATTTTATTGGAAAAATATAATTATTAAATCCATACTTAATTATTAAATCCAGTCTTTAGTTATTTTCACAAGTTTTTATTTTTTCTCATCGACTTCTTTAACAAAATAACAACCTCGACTGAGTAACTCTGGGGGTTTAATTATTCGAAGAACGTCAGGCCAAGCATAAA